AGCGTTACAGTGCCACCATCGCACTTCAGCGTGACCAAAAACACACTTTGAACAGCGTCCAATCAGAAACACACTTCAGCGTCACTATCGCGGTTCGGAGTACCATCGCAGTTCAGAGTCCTACATATATTTTTACTGTATGTGCATATTTACATACATTGTATGATAGTTGACCAATATTCAAAAGAAATATAACACGTTAGATTTCTTGATTAACAGTCACCAAAGAGCATTCAGAGACAAATTTAAGGAACGTGCAACATGTAATAATGCTTAGTGTGGTATATATTTGATAAAGTAGCCGAAATCGAAGTTCAGCCTTACGTGAGGGATTTTGTACTTAGATTAAAACAAAATCAAAGAAATACATGTAAAACGTTCGTCGATATTCATCATGACACGTGCTAAATCACCGATTACTTTGCAGATGAAAAACTCCGGATTAATATAGTAAAGTAGGAGTTGTAACGCGAGTTGTGCCAAGTGTATCATGATAAATAGTCATTACATTTCGCATCAAGGTGCGCGACATATCAGAACGGGAGCAATTACATAATTTAATTTTGATTATTTTCAAAGTAACACAACAGTAGTATAGCCTTAGATTCCACGACCAATATCGAATTCGTTGCCAGATTGAAAAATAGACAAAAATCGGTAATTTGAAAGATAAGTGGCTACAAATCTTAAATCTGATAGCGCATAGATTATACAATTGTTTATATAATTCTTGTGTCTGTACGAAATCAGTCCATCTAGAACGTGTTCATTTCGTATTTGTTCGTCTTTGATTGTAAGGTTTGACTATTTTTCCGGAGGTCTCCCGTGTTTGTGGATTATTGGTTTTAGTTTTTCTTTCTTAAATTTTTGATTATGTGTTTGTGGATTATTTTGTTTTGTTGTACTGTCTTTAAATTTTGATAATTCCTGTTATCCTTTTTGTTCATAATTCAGTCTTCGATAGCCAGGGTCACCACGTTCTTTATCGTTTGTTTCACGGGCTATTGATAATAATAGTTTCACACAGTATATCAGGGGCCTTTCAACGGGGATGTGCATACCTACTCTATAAAACATTGCCATTCATAAAATAAAAGTTTTTGTTCAAAAGTTTATAGGAATTTATTTTAAATATGATTTATTTTTATAACCTACGATCACTTTTTCGATGTATTCCGTCAAATTCCTATTAACGGGACAGCTACATTTTAAGCGAAAACTTTTCAATTTGACTTTCTTCAATTTTCTTTTATTTATTTTGATTAGATGTATTTTGATTATTTGCGTCGCTGGACTGCTGTCTCATTGACATATATCCGACATCTCCTTTATTATAATTCTACAGCAATCAAAATCCTAGTTACCTCACATCAAGTGTATAGTTATTTCTGAAACGAAACTCATTAAAAATTACGAGCGGCCGATTAGTGTTCTCGCAAAACATCAACGCAAATTTTGCATCTGAATGATCGGATTCCTATGCTACTTGAATGATATTTCCGACAGTTAAAGTCCACAGAACTAAAAACGATTTTTACGAAGGTCCGGGGTTCTTATCATAAAACAAATCATCAGATGAAAATTGATCGTAAGTTACTCTTAAATGTTCATATTGTACGAATAAATATGTTTTCTCGTATTTGATGAGCCACAGAACTTAAGTTTTGTGCAGAGAAAAAAATAAAACGTTTATTTTTTTTCTCTCGATTATTTGATGATTTTGCATCTGAACAATTGTTTTATTATTTCAAAAGAAACTTTCTGATGTAATTATAAAAATCATATTTTAAACAAATTCCTTTAAACTAAAGGGCAAAACCTAATGAAAATATGTATATATAGTATTACATGTATGTACATCCCCATTGACATTGATAAAGGCTAAAGGTTTGGTCATGGTAAAAGCATGCCAGGTGCCCATATCTAAGCTGTTATGAGCCTTCTACTTGTGTAAGGTACGATGCTGGTATATGCATGAAATAATAATATTTTCAGCAATTTGTTTATTTGATAAAATCGGTGATCTAGATTACTACATCTGACATGTCTGATACAAGCTAACAAAACCTTTAAACAGACTTATTATGAATTCTGTTTACTGAAGAGTTTTATCCTGCTGAACTGACTTTAAATAAATCTTATACTAACAACGAACACTGCCTTTTCCTTGGTCTTGATATCTTTAACGGAAAGCTTAATACTAAAATTTATGATAAAAGAGACGATTTTCCATGCATTTCCTATTGTTAATTATTAATTTTTAGATAGTGACGTTCCCTTGGCACCATCTTAGGGTGTTTATCAATCTCAACTTGTTCGATTCGCTCGTGTATGTAACAACGTATTTGATTTTAACGAAAGAAATCTCTTTATTACTGAAAAATTATTACACCAGGGTTTTCGATATCACAAACTTGTCAAAACATTTACTAAATTTTATCATCGGTACAAAGACACCATTCGTAAATATAAATCAACGTGCAGACATTTTTTACGTTCGGGTATTTCACATCCCATCTTTTATGGAATATTCTATACAAAGCACAAACATGTCGTCATATTCACCTCAAAAGCTAACCAAACTTTTAAACAGACTTATTCAGAAAGGATATAGTTACGATACTGTTGTCAGGTCATAAAAGATTACATTTTTTGGAATTAATATTGATTCACTCATAGGGTCTTTGCATCGGAAATAAACACATTTATTCTAAAACCAGTTGTTGACATGATACGGGTTATGTTCTTATATCGTATATTTCATGATGGTATGATAATAAACCCCTAACGGGAGGGATTGTGCTTGATCTGGAGCTGGCATGTCAGTAACTGCTAGTAGTCCTTTGTTAACTCATGTTGATAATTGTCATTTTGCTAAGTTTCTTCTGTTACCTATTCTAACATTGGACTCTGACTTCTTTTACTGTGCGTATTGCTGTATGTTTGTTTATGCCACATTGGCTAGAGATATAGAGGGAGGGTTGAGATCTCATAAAACATGTTTGACCCCGCCGCAATTTTGAGCTTGTCCAAAGTCAGGAACCTCTGGCCTTTGTTAGTCTTGAATGTTTTTTAATTTTGGTTCATTTATATGTTTTGGAGTTAAGTGTGACGTCCATTTTCACTGAACTAGTATTCATAATTGTTTAGGAGCTAGCTAAAGCCCGCCTGTGGGTGCGGGATTTTCTCGCTGTGTTGAAGACCAATTGGTGGCCTTGGGATGTTTCCTGCTCTTTGGTCGGGTTGCTGACTCTTTGAAGCATTCCCTGTTTCCATTCTCAATTTTACTTAAAAACAAGCTCTATTTGTTTATTTTATTTTGTTTCCTATTCTGACATCGGACTCGGACTTCTCTTATACTGAGTTTTACTGTACGTACTGTTGTGCGTTTGATTTTTCTACATTGGCTAGAGGTATAGGGGGAGGGTTGAGATCTCAAAAAACATGTTTAACCCCGCCGCATTTTTGCGCCTGTCCCAAGTCAGGAGCCTATGGCCTTTGTTAGTCTTGTATCATTTTTAATTTTAGTTTCCTGTGTATAATTTGGAGTTTAGTATGACGTCCATTATCACTGAACTAGTATACATATTTGTTTAGGGGCCAGCTGAAGGACGCCTTCGGGTGCGGGAGTTTCTCGCTGCATTGAAGACCCATCAGTGGCCTTCGGCTGTTGTCTGCTCTATGGTCGGGTTGCTGTCACATTCCCCATTTCCATTCTCAATTTAATCAATTTTATCTAATGTAAAGATTGTGCACTCCTATGTGTTTGGACCGCTGCAAAAAGCCACAACAAACATACAAACAAACAAACAAAAAACTGGCTTCGAAATGATTTTCTGGATTACAGTGAAATTGAGGATAATTGAATTATACGAACATAAAAATGAAGAGTCTTGGTCCATTTACAATACGTCGTCTGTCATTTTCTTTTCGAATCCTTTCAAAAATTAATGACCTATATAAAAGGGACAAAACCTTCAGTTCTGACAGGATGACGCAAAACCAAATAAACTAATTTGTTACCAGTCTTTAATTTTGGGACAAAGTTAAATTACAATTATTTATTTGAATAATCGATTTGAATCTTTTCAAAAAGACGGATGATAGAGCACTTGAACCCGTTCAACCCCACCGCAAAAACCAGGAATCTGACGTTCTTTGTTTTTCTAAGTTTGATCTGTACCTGCATTGTTATATTTAAGGACAAAGTATCGACTATGTTAATGTAATACTTGAATAGTTGGCTTTCTCTCGCAATTAATCATATAATGTGTGTAAGTCGGTCCTAAATACATTTGAAATACTACTAAATATGTCCATGAAATATATAGATTTGTAACTGCTTTGATGTGTGTGCTTCCAAATTCCACAGGATGAACTTACAAAACAACTGGATATAAGAGAATCACCGAAAATAGTCAAAGACGTCAGCAGTGATCAAAAGTTCTATAATGCAATTTTTAAACAGTCCTATTTTTTTCATGGGTTACAGTTAACCATGAAATCCACAGTTGTTACTTTATTATCTCTTACATGGAAAATGTTTTGCTAGAAATGTAAAAATGAAAAGATGTGATATACTGAATGCCAATGAGACAACTTTCCTCTAGAGACAAAATGATGTAGAAATTGCCAAATAGCGTACGACCTTCAACAATAAGCAAAACCCATACCGCATAGCAAGCTATAAAAGGAAGTCAAAATCGGAACTAAAATACTAATTTCAATACGTGTTTTTCTTTTTTGTACACGTTAAATCCAGAAAAAAATCATATAAAAAAACTATACGTTTTTATATTAGATGGAAATAGCGAAACTTCTATGAGTCGTCTAAAGTAGTCAACTAATTTGTCATGGCGACCATAAAGGTGTTGTTGCACTGATGATACTAGTTAAGGCTTAAACTGTTATATCTACAACCATACGCTATTGTGGTAGATAAATGTATGCGTTTGAATCGGTTTCCCTTCTGTTCAAATACATATAAAATGAAGCAGAGATGCAGAAAACATTTATTAATGCGATGTAGTTGATGAACAACTAATTTCTGAGGTTATACAATTAGGCAGATTACTTATAAAGTGGTATAACACAGTCTGACAGGTAAAAAAAAATGAGAAGTTACTTGAAATCTAAATATATCGATGAAGTCCTCTTAGTTCTGAAAAAAATAAATAAATCACTGTTAACATATAACAAGCGCTAAATAGGTTGTACCAATATTACATCAATTTGTTTCTATTAAATGATCGAATTTATTAAACATCAATATTGTTTCATGATCAAAATCTTTTCAATTTTAATTTTCTTTCCTCTATTACTTAATTCATTCATATCTGTATTTGTGAAACGGTTCATACAATTTTTAAACTTTTATTTTACCTATATCTTTGTTGTTATTTTCCTTTTTTTCCGAATACATTTTTAAAAAAGACATTCATAACTCGTGTATGTATTTTAAGTACAAAAGTCAAATATTATTTTTTTTAATAGAAATTTTGCATTATTTCTTTTATGAATGTCCTTCAATCAAAGAACTGTTTGAAATAATTGAAATATCTAAGCAAAAACAGGCAATATGTAGGAATGAATAAAATGGTTTTATCACTAATTTATGAATTTCATACATCCGCCGTGCTTTTTCTAGATTCTTCTTTCTGGATTTCAAATTTTAAAGCAAGGGATATATAAACAACTGAGAAATTGAGGAACTAAAAGGAAAAGACAAATTCATCTTAGGTTAACTTTGCCTGAGGTTGTTTGAACCTCAGCGTCATAATAATAAATTTAAAGTGTTCTTTGCTGTTCGCAATACTAAGGTAAGAATATAATGAAAACAATATGAATTTGGAAAAAAACGCATAAGTTTATTACTAAGTTTCTAACGTTCGTTAATTTCCACTATTGCGATATACTGACTGAGTGTATATACGCAAGTCGGGGTTGCATGCATAGCACGAGACGCTTACCCTGTCAATGAATCTGGTCTCGCTCCGTTTGGAGTTCATGTAATTTGCTCAGGTATTGCATGTATATCTTGATTTCTATGTATTCCTAATGGGTTTACAGATATGATCATCGTTAAACAATTGTTGAACTATTATTATTGCCTTTTTAATTAAATTAACTTTCCAAAAGTTTCGTTCCCTTCTGTTTGTTTTACTTATGTCACAGAAATAATCCTTTCTTTGAAAACAAAACATATTTATGGAAAAATCGATTTTAAAGGTTAACTTCAGATCTCCGTATTGTGTAAATTGTTGTCATTGATAAAGACGTTAGATTCAGTTGTATGTTTTTATTTTGTATATTTAAGGAATGACTGTAATATTTTTTCTGTCTATGAAGAAATAACATCAAAAATGTGGTGCACACTGAATAACCTGCGTAGCGGGTTATTTTAAAGTGTGCACCACATTTTTTATGTTATTTCGAATAGACAGAAAAAATATTACAGTCATTTCTTATAATTTAATTCTAAATTTCATTTTAAACCGGCGTAAACCATGAAAAAACGTTGATAACGTCACGGTCACATGACAAAATTATGTCTATGAGCTGATAAACAAACAACGTCAGCCAATCAGAAGACGCGTTACATCCAAAATTAAATTATAACACTTTAAAAACTGTCCTATGTTCATCTTCATCGTATTTTCTCAAATTTTTTATACATATTAGTTCGTTTTTAACATTCAAATCCTCTATGAATAAGTATGAATATGTTTATTTTATATTACTTTCATTGTAAATTCTATGGAACGTTTGGGCCATTAAAAACATGAAGAGATTGACATATAAACGGGGATTTGGTACCTCATACCTAATTTAACCCACTATCTATTTTGAAAATTACAAAATGAAGCACTTAGGCAAGCCATCTAATGTGTTATACTGCTATATATGACTTTTGGTGGAAGGAAGTTGCTAATTAATTTAGATTCGAAATAATTGTGAACTTTAAAACATTTTCTATATCCTTTTGTCTAGATGATTATTAATAATGATACATAACAAACCTGATAGTATATGATTAAGTATTACAACTGCCGACATGGTCACATGTTAACTTCCGTTGACACCATTCAGTTCCAGATGCACAGGGCATTATAAATGTACCTCCAAACAGGTCACACTGGAGGAAATGCGTTGGACAGCTAGTTCCGAAGTATAACTCTTTTGGATCTTTTGATATACCTTCAGCACATATGTCCTGCGCATCTACAATGTTAACAATACGTTCATTTTTATTTTTTATCGGAGACCATATTATTCTGTGAATGACAGCTATGTAATTAACAAGACGAAATTTGTTTTGTACAATGAGTATTGTAAAATTTCAAACTATCGGCAAACAGGAAGTGTCTGTACGCCGGATGTAAAATTTGCTTACATGCTAAAACTGAACATTATCAAGCTTCAGACCAAATATAAAACCATGTCCTATCATAGAATCTAAACCCAAGGTCTTTCGGGTGGACAAACAGATAGACGGACATACGGAGTCGAGCGGTTATTAGTCCTGCTTTCGCCGTTGGTGACGCAGGTAAAAATAAGAGCTCTAACAAATTTAAAACCGTACAAATACCCATAAGTTTTATACCCCTATTTATGTACACAATAAGGCAACAAACATAATATTATATATAACCTCAGGCAATGCAAAATAGCACACACAGGTAAATATAATATCTCCCACTGAAAATTAGTGATTATGACAATCAATGATTATTTAGATACTGAAACTCGTCTTTATTATTTGTCAACTCACCTTGTGGATTTTCAGCTTCCGTGCAGTCATCAGTAAGCATGACTAAGTCGTTATCTTCTCCATCTACATCACGTGTACCTGTCGAACATGTTCCGTCGTTCGTTCCAGTTCCATCATTTGACCCTGAATCACCATTCCCTCCTGTATTTGAATCTGAATTCAAAAAAAAAACTATAGGGATTTGTATAAACTTGTTTATTACTTAAAGGGAATTTAGAAAAAGAACAAAATGAATAAAGGATCATGTATAACTCTTTTTTACATAATTATATATAGTTTTAACAAATGGAGTAATCATATTAATGTGTTACTAGTATGTAAAACTTTTAAAATTTTGGTTATCAGGTGTATAAATTAGTTTAGCCTTATAAGATTTCTTGACAATACTGAATTACTACTACTATTTAATCAATAGTTCTTTTGCCAAAAAAAACCCCAAAGAGATAGAGAACAAAATAACCATGTTGTCAATAAAATAAATGTTCGCGAAACAGACAACGCCATGGCATGGACAAAAGAAAAGTTCAAGTTCTCCGGATTGATAAATAAAGTTGGCTCCTACAGAAACATATATTATGGTACCGTTAGTTATCTGTCATATTATGAAACATGAATCCCTTACAAAACCAGAGATGAGCTCAGGTGCTCCGTCTTGATGCTCAGTACAGGCAAAAATCCGATGTTTAGCTGCATTTGCTATATTTTAAATAAACAAGGAAAAGGGGATAGGCTCGATAATGGATACGAAAGAAAATTAAAACGTGCGTCTTCACCTGTGACACAGATATTCAAGAGGTTTAAAACAAATCATGATGGCGTCCGTTAGACTTTTAAACATTTGAATGTGAAGACATCAATTTTACCATTAATAAACCTTGGTTAAAAAGTTTCCTTACAACCAGTAACCTCTATCAAGAAATTATCAGAAAAGCAGGCTCTTTGAGTGTCATATCAACTATGTTTTCAGATGAAAAAAAAATGTCGAATTAACATAAGCATTACATTTAAACATCAAAATAAGTAGCCTTATCGACGACATACGAGTGCATTGAATTGTTCCGCTTTGTGCGATAATTTCTTTTTAAAGATACTGGGACAGATACAATAATGGATAGTATTTCAAAGCGGAATAACTCAATATATTTTTATTACTAAGACAAAACACATCATTTTGAAACTTATTAACATATTTCGAGTGATCAATTCAAAGGGTTTAAATAGAATGTAAAGTTATAATATCAAACAAAACGTTTCTGATTTACTTCAGAACACTAAAGAACATAAAATCCAATCAACTCATTAGGAATAGATGGTTGTAGATTTTCTTTTTATGCCCAACCTAGATTGCATTATGTTTTTCGGTCTGTGCGTTCGTTCGTTCGTCCGTCCGTCCGACCGTCCGTTCGACCGTCTGTCCCGCTTCAGATTAAAGTTTTTGGTCAAGGTAGTTTTTGATGAAGTTGAAGTCCAATCAACTTGAAACTTACTAAACCTGTTCCCTATGATAATGATTTTTCTAATATTAATGTCAAATTAGAGTTTTGACCCCAATTTCATGGCCCACTGAACATTGAAAATGATAGTGCGAGTAGGGCATGCGTGTACTATGGACACGTTCTTGTTATTATTTAAAGATAGTACGTCATGTTTATGACAAATCTTTTAACACTATTTAACAACTTCATTTCATTATCTTCAAATCTTTCAAACTCGACTCTTGTTGTGTTTATGATTAACGCAAATCGTTAAATAGAAAGTGTACATCTAAGTAAGCTTTAGTTGTTATTTTTTATTATTGCCTCACAGATCGAGCTACCGGGTAGTATATATTTTTTTTAAGTTTTACCAGTAAATACTTTCAAACAATCATTACCCGAAATGACATTATTGAAGTTAAAGTGTTTTTGATATTTTTTAATGTCAACCGTCCAGTGTAATTATGAAAAAAAAACATACTAAATAGTCCACACTAGAAAAATATAAGTTCGCTTAATATCATAAAAGTGGGAAAATATACATTCACGAACAAGCTATAAATAGTCATAAAAATTCATTGATTACAATTTTGAACGGAAAAAATGACTGTACATTAAATACTTTTCACATTAATTTCTGGAAAAATTCTGCACAGTTACGTACCATCAAATGGGTAGGTGCATTTTGTTCTTATGAAGAAGTACTTTTTCACCCTGTAGATACATTAAAAAGATACTCATTATCGAACATATAAATAACAGTATTGACAAACATAAATATCGTTATCAAACTGGAAAGTTAAATACATATATGAAGTTTGTAAAAAGCTGATCGTTAACAGTAACAGATAATACATATTCATAGTATAAAAGGTCAGCCATTGAGCTGTACTTTTAAAACATAACAATCGTTTAAATTATCGAAAGCTCTTAAAAAGTAAGTACCTCATACTAGAAAATAGTTATACAATAATTCAACTGTTCCTTAGAGTGTATAAAATCAGATAATACTTACTTATAACATATCGTCCTTCCATTTTTTCCTGTCGTACAACTATTGATTGTCTTTTTAGAAGCACGTTTACACTGACATCGTCTGTAAAATTTCAATATTGATATTACACAGCGGTTAAAAATACTATTGAAGTTCATCATCTGGTTACATAAAAGTGAATGATGTTATAGCTGAGAGGAATTACGAGATTTAGAAAATAAGCACCCCTGTGTCACCCTCTCATCATACTTGTTACCAATCATTCCCACATTAAGATTTCGAACGAGTTTCGACCTTTGATGGGTTGTTCTATCAAGCACACAATCTAACATGGGTCGATGGACAAATGTCAAATATTAAAGATAATGGAAACTGGTATATTTTAGTCGTGGGAGGTGGTGGCCAAGAATATAATCTATAGTTATGTTGCTGTTTAATAGGAAAACTTTCAGAAATATTACTTAAACTTTACCATTTGCTCTAAGAATCTTTGTTTTATGACAATATTCAAACTTTTACAACTGATCATCGCTTAGATTTTAAAAATTAAATTATAAGCAGGCGTCTAAGATCTACATAGTTTTTATCGTTTTTTGTTTCTTCTGCCTTTTTCTCCGCTGTAAAAATAAATTTATCAATATATACATGATATATGCAATAAATGTTTGAGTTTAAAAAACGACAACGTCTATCTTGTAAAATAAATGGATTTTAAGGATAAGATATATCAGTTAAAATGCAATTATGAAATATGTCAGTGCTAATATAGTTTTTTTGATGTATTTTTTGTTGCATTTAAATTAATTTCAGCCTCCTTTATTATTTAATTTTTTTTATTTCAATTTCCTTTATTTGAAATTATTAGTATATGAAGTACAAAGGTGTTACATTCTATTTTATGATATTCACATTTTTTTTTTCGTTTGAGAAAATATTTCTATCATTTGCTCTAGGAGTCCTTGTTTTATGACTTCAAATTTTGATATGCTTGTCACTTAGATTTGTTATAGTAAAAGTTCAATGATAAGTTAATATTGATATCAAAAGAGGATGTTGTGATCCCCGAGCCCGAGTGGCGAGGGGATTTGAACAGTCCTTTTTGTGAGGAGGTATTTTAATGTCAATATTAACTTAATCATTGAACTGTTACTGACTTACAAATCGTCAAAACATAAGAAAAGTACACAAAAAAGACTTGCAGAAATCTAATTACCCTGAATTAGACGAGTAAAGGTTCATCATAACAAATGGACAAACATGGATTTATTTACACTGCAAAAACTACTCTGAGTACAGACTAACCTGTCCAGTTGGAAAAGTTTTAAGGCCTGGCATCCACTAGATATATAAAAGTCAATTGCATTTTGTGTTTCAGAAAGATAAAATATTTTTTGGATTTTGATGGGCATTTTTTTCGTTCCTGCAGAAGATGTAAAAACAAACTAAGTGTGGATACAACTTTGAGATGCTCTCTCTCAGGTAACAACTATTGTATTGCATTAATTGTCCTTGATTGACATGGACAATAGACAGACAATGAGTATCTACACAACTATTGGTGAGTTAAAGGGTGTAACTGGGTGGACAGTATCAAAGTAATTCAGGTGTTTGTTTATTTTTACACCTTCTGCAGGAACGAAAAAAATACCCATCAAAATCCAAAAAATATTTTATCTTTCTGAAACACAAAATGCATTTAACTTTAAAATTTTTAGTGGATGCCAGGCCTTAAAACTTTTCCAACTGGACAGGTTAGTCTGTACTCAGAGTAGTTTTTGAGGTGTAAATACAGCCATTTTTGTCCATTTGTTATGATGAACCTTAAATATATTCCACTTAATGATAGTTAAACAGTACTCAGACTGATATATACAAATAACAGTTACCTAATTGCATTGGAAACGGACCGATGATACGGCAGTATATCATTTCATTATTTATTTATCATACATGTTTTAGCATTAACATAACACCATTGGATAGTTTTATAAGATTAAGGGGTAAAATTATATTTTTGAATTCTAGCTTTTCAAAATAACGATTTTTTATTTTATAAATGAGTAAATCAAAAGCCTGTGCAGACCTCATTTACAACTGACCAATAAATGTTTTGCACAGAAACTTCTTGTTATAGATGTTGTGTACAAGTTATCATTTTGTACATATTATAATTTGTACAAAAAAATTGTACAAATTATAGTTTGTATTTTGACTTTGTACAAATTGTAATTTGTACAAGAATACAAATTGTACAAGGAGTGCTTATACAAATTACAATTTGTACAAAAGTTTACTAAAATTCACTTATAACTTGTACAATAATTTATGGTATGGATTTTGTTATAAATAAGCATTGATACACACTACAATTGTTTGGAATGCAATGACCACACAATAAACCTTATTTACAAATTACATAAACAATAGTTCTGTATCATTTGTTTGAGCATGCGAGTGAATTATGGTATCGGGAATTGCACAACATCTTTTTTCTTTATACATTTACAATAATTTAAGAAGTGCTGCACCCCCTTTACATTTACATGAAAGAAACTCCTGACCACCAGTTTTTAAAGCTTTTTAACTGCTTCACGTAGCGAAAGTTGAAGCTCAGGAACTGTTACTGTGAATAAAGATGTGTCTTTAACAGCTTCAATTTGATTTCTCGACAAATATCCTGTTGAAATTCCTACAGCTGTTCCAATACGGTACCCAAATTCTCCAGATTCAGTAATTACACCTAAGATATTTCGAGGATCAGTTGGGGCACGATCATACTGAGGAGTTGGTAAATAATAACATTATACCCCACAGCAAGTTCTGATAATTTCCGTTTCGTTTTCTTGGTTAAAGATTCGGCTTTGATCTGTTGGCCAGACAGCGCACGCTTCCAACTGGCACGTATGATTGGCGTTTCAAAATCAGTGTCATCCTGATTGTCACTCGCGCAAATTTCTATTATACTATCAGTGTCACTGGGGACAATTTCTATTATAGTTTTAGAATTGTCACTGGGGCCAATTTTTATTATTCTAATTGAATTGTCACTGGGGCCTATTTCTATTGTATTATCAGAACTAACTGGCATGCATGTACATTTCCTGTCTTCATCTTGATATTTTTGTATTTTGTAAATAAGGTTTATTGTGTGGTTATTGAATAAAAATTCTTCAGTGTGTATCGAAATGATAACTTGTACACAACATATATATTTGATGTTTTTAATCTGTCAGTAATAACGAAATAGATTCATAAAGACCAGACCATGAAATGAAATGAAATTAAAATACAATATATTATATTAAAACAAACACTCTTATTTTAGTCGTCTGTCATTTCCTTTTCACCTCTAAATGAAGCATAAGCACCTTGGGAAAAAAAACCTTTTACCTTTCTTAGTTTTATCATCGCATGACATAATCATATATTATAAATCGTAATAAAACAGTAGAAAAGAACCATAGTAAAAAACATATTGAAAAAAAATTGTTAGAGTTCAGTTATGAGGTAGATTGCAAAAAACCAAAAAAAACATAAAATTTTGCACTATTTTTGAGTGATTTAAATGGAAACTTTACATTTTAGCATTTTTCATGATGAAAACACGTGAATACAATAGGTAGGTCATGCAATAGGAGGTCGACAGTGAGGTTGGACGTGAAAGTTGGAATGCTACTGGAAAATAAGAGTATATTGAATAAGGACAGAAAGTTAGCCTTGCAACAGCTGGCAACATCCGGACCTCTCAAATAATTGTTCCAAGAGTTTTAAATATGCAGAGCGTTGATCCATGAGATCTACTCTGAAGTCGTCCATCGATATTTACAAGTAGTTTCCAATATTATTTAACGCATCTAATTGAGATTAGATACTTTCTGCTCGCTTGATTAACTGTGAGCATTCTGTGAAACTGTATTGTTTATTGTACTTGAGTTGTTGGTATGATATTCTATACTACCGCTCTCCTAGTTGGACGCGTGGGAGTGGGAGGTCGTTGGTTCGAATCCCGACAGGGTCAAGCAAAGACGTTAAAAGTGGTATTTGCTGTTTCAACGCTAAACACGCGGCATTTAGAAATAAGAGCACAGACTGGTCGGCTCGAAGTCAGAAATGTGGCCCGGTAGCGTGACTTTTCTTCCTGCGAACTGTTAGCTTGTGAAAATACACGTTAAAAATACGGCCCAGCGTGTCGGTCTAGAACAAAGCAGGGATAATATTCATATTATATTTACATGTTATCGTCCTGAATATGCATTTGATTCGCCGCTGGACGTCATCCATTATCTCCATTTATTTTACCGTTACTATACAGTGAAGTGTTTTTCTTCTACTGGTTTATATTACACCTTCTTTAAATTCCATCGATCGAAATTAAAAAAGGACAGGTGATATTGTTCAACCAAACACTTGTGTCTGTTGGGATATCTTTGACGGTAACTATTATTAGATTACATAATTAATCCGTTTTATTAGTCATGGGGCGGTTTTGAGCTTATTCTTCTGCATATGCATCTTTCTAATTCAGACCTGGGGTCAATTACATGCCAAAGTAATTAATTACATTTCAATTACATTGATTTTTAAATGAAACTAATTACATCACAATTACATTGATTATCGAATGTAATGAATTACATTGCAATTACATTGCCAATGCAATGAATTACATTTCCATTACTTTTGGCCAAATATATGTCAGAGCTATATCATATAGGATAAAATCATAAAATGATAACACACTAGAATAAAACTTTCAAACATGGACTATTTTTGTTTCAAAATGCCTTCAACAGCAACATGTACATGTAGCGATGAAAAACTTTTTGATTATATGGAACTGTGTAAAAATGTGAAACACTATTCTAATTATATGAGATAGACTATCTAATACTTAATTGTCAGTAGGATTTGACAAATTTAAGAGTTGGACCATGTGAGTGAAACAAATACAGGGGGAAAAGGCCCAACTCTTTTGAATAGAAAAGAAAATATGTGCATTTTTTTATATAAAAATTCAATCACTTAAGTCAAACCCTACAACTGACACTTATCATTTTGATTAAGACTATGCATCGCTGCTTTCTTTAGCCCAAACAGGATGTTTAGCATTTAGTACGTCAATTAAACTTGAAATACTTAAATTAAAAATCAATAGACAATATGTGCAATTTTCAGGACTAAATTGAAACATTTATGATTGAGGAATTAAATTTACAATGTACCCTTGGTGACAATGAAACATCACAAGAGGGTACACGATATATCCTATGTCTTCGTAACTATGCATTCTTAAATGAATAAAACAGAAAGAAATTAACAATAATTTGGTCATGTAGATCAACGCTCATATGTGACCCGCCATAACATCTCCAGGTTTATGGAGGTATAACGTCATTGTGAGAAAAAAAAATGCCGTTAACTATGAACGTTACGTCAACTTTGTTTACTTTCAAGTTCATTTTACTGAATTCAAAGTCTGGATGCTTTTAAGTATTTAATTTGAAGTATAAAAGATAGCTCTTCACTTAAGAAGGGATTGGTCATAAATGGTAACATGAAGTTGAGAGATTCTGTATATTTTACTCCTCAAAACTCTCATGTCTCAAAAAAATGAAACTTTTAGTAAAGAAACTTTTTATACCGTGTTGTTTTCAATGGTGTATTGTACGTCACAGTTATTTATGTTTATTAAATATCAATTAATGATGCTATACTACTGACTTATTTCCGCAGTTGTGTCTACTGTTAGTATCTGTCCTGATTATGTATTACAACATGCATGTGATTTCTGTCGCTGGTGCTTATACTTGGAAGACATAGTTACAAGAAAACTTCGGAGGAATTAATTCAATAATGGGTTTCTCCTAAATCTTCTGACTTTATTGAACTGCTGGCCGTTTTATCACATTTTGAAAACCTTAACATTTATAATTTCTTTTTTCCTCTTGAAATATCCAACTTAGGAAGTAAACGACTTTGATACTGTGAAATATTGGGACCAGACTTGGGCAATTATGTCTCTAGCTTGTTTTCTTGGCAACATTAATCAGCGGCTATGGAATTGTTTCATTTAAGAATTGAATGCTTCTTTTTGTAAATTCATTGGGGTGTAAAAGCGTTGATCGAAGTTCATTTTGTATGAAGCGCTTCATTCTAAAAATGTACGCACGCTCAACGCTTTTACAACCCTATGAAATTACTAAAAGAAGCATTCAATACTTATAATTACATTTTTTCGCTATGATCATGAAAATACGATTACTATTAAGTTTTTTCTTTTATTTACCTGTGCACTTTATTGTGGAAACGTGTGTCATCATGTATGTTTCAATTCATGCGAGATTGCTGTTAGCCAATCAAAATAACGTATAATAATGAAACATACGTCTAATGTAATTATAAGTTATTATTTTAACCCTTCCTCCTCGACGTCATTTTTTATGTCCGGAGTAGAAAATTGTAAGTCAGGTACCATTGATGAGTTTTTATACTATTTTTGACCCCCGTAAAAAGAGCCTGTGTGGTCCACGACAGTTTAACAGCAACCGACCAACACTATAAAATCCAGATAGACATCAAGTAGTGTAAACCGCTTTGATTCAGGGTTAAAGGATGTAATTAAAGATGACTGGCACCACCTAGTTTTTACATCCAAGATAATAGGTAGAATTAAATTTATTTTCTGCTGCCATGTTAATTAGAAAACAAGATTGAAATAGTGTGAAATGCATGTTGGGCTTTTGGTGTAGAAATAGCGAGAAATTTGGAGGAAACTCTCTGTGACGAGCAACATTTTCTGTGCAAAATTAAGCAAGGGGTGTTCTTCATTCATACTATTTCGAAAATTCCGGAACCGTAGAGTACCCTAAAAAATGTCATTTTTCTATCAAAAAAGCTGCGGCACAGTATGTGTTTTGCAGTTTCATTTACACCGAAAGGTGTTGATAATTTAGAATTTGACAGTTTTATCAACGGATCTTTTATAGTAAAAACAGAGGACCTATCATTGTCGTCTATGTAAACCCTTTACTTCATTTTAACCTAAAGTATAGATAACTTGTGAGTAATTTATACGAAAACTACAAAAGACGTGATAGCTATCCTACATCTCCTTTCATTAAAAGAAATGCCATGAAACATCATATTCCTTAAAGAACAAAAACAGATAAAATTGATAAACCAAACTTCTAAAGAAAGGTGAGCTATCTTGTTTTTCTTTTTCAAAATAAAAATTCACTCATTTGGGATTTGGATGCCTTCCAGCACAAAATTTTACAAAAATACTTAAAATTGCAAATACTCTATCAATAGTGTCATTGAAGACATGAAGCACTGATTTGTTTAATAGATATTAATAAGATAAGATAATATAAAGTATTTATTCCAACTAATTTGCCCATAATGAGTAAAGAATATTTTTTTTTAATTGAGAGACGCAAAAAGTTTTGAAAAATATATATAAAAATAGACCTTATCTTATTATCTTAAGCCACAGTCAGACCAGAGTCATAAGTATATATTTTTAACAAATGGACAAATAAAACAGATTATATAAATTATTAAAGGTAAATATTACGAATGGGTTACATACAAACATATCTGTACTATATTGCTAGTTTTTTAAGTTCAAAACATTTCTTGGTATAAGTTTCAATAATTTTCAGTTCTTCTAGGTTTTCTTGTATAAAAAACTAATTGAACGTAGCACTTGTGTTTATCACTTCGAAATTTTGACATTTTATCACAATTTTTTATAGAACTCTTAAAAGAGTTTTTTAATACAAATGATATAGATGACATTTTTTAAAGTTATGATATTATATTTATATTTCAAAGTGTCAAGTCATTAACTTTCAAAGATAGAGTCTAAGCAAAACAAATATTGTAGAAGGTTGCTATACCTCTTTAAATTGTTAAGTTCAAATGAAATATTACAATAACTGTACCTTTTATAGCCTTCCACATGAACACTGACGACAATAATAACCAATAAAATACAAAGTATTGGAAGTTTGGACATCTTGTATCGTTGCCTTGTGGATCAAGACTGATGTGGAACTACCCCAACAAAGTAGTTTAAGTTACAGTTTAGGTTCGTCATAGCCAAAATTCTTTTCAATATGCTTACAAATAAAATGCAAAAAGAAAATTATTCTACACTTAATTAAATTTGCACACGCTGTTGGTTCCGTGAAATGACAAAGTTATATAAGATAATATTTTTTTGGTCATGTAAATTGGAGCTTTAATTTTATATTCGCAGTTTTTTTTTAAAGTTTCAGTGATGTAGCATTTCTATTTTCATAAATTTAAAAATCGATGCGAAACGTTATTGAGTTTTTCAAATTCAATGAAATTGAAGTCTGCTAAAGTTGTTTCCCTTTCACTTGATTTTTTAATAGATCTTCAAATCTATCATTATTGGGCTAAATTTCAGACGAAGTATATACATACATTGTATATCTCATTTACGACTGACATTCTTCATCGGAAAATAATAGGGTTATATAGGGCTTCATTGTAAAATCACAAATTACACATATTTCGACTGATATTTAGCCCAACAATGTTATATCTGCAGATTTATTTAAAAAATCAAGTGAAAAATAGTAATTTGTTCAAGAAAAATGTCATAAAATTTCCAATCTTTTAAACACAAGAATTTGCCTGAAAATTTATATTGCCACTGAAATAATTTATTAATATCATGCTTAAAGGGGCATTAGCTACGAGATATGAAAAAAAATTAAGATATGATTTTGTTTTTGTTCAGTCATTAGAGAAAGTGAAAAAGTGAACTTATAATTCGCTTTTAGCAGCTAATTTTGTTCAATTTTGTCAAAATAAGCTAAGAAACATCCCTGATAAATTATTCACTTGCAAGTGAATAATTCGACCCCATTGAATCCGTATTCATGTGAGCTTCAAATTATCCCCTAAGCTTGATATGAGTTACGCATGCTATTAAAAGGAAAAGAATGTCAACATTGAAAGTAAAACAAGAATGAACCATTTGGTTGACTGATTCGATCCACAAAATAAACATTCTTATAAAGGTAACAACGATTATAAACATACTTTTTAACCTACAATATGAAATCAAACAGGCTAAGAAAAATCCAATTACACAATATCTGTTTAAATTTATATTTATATGTTTATTTCGGGTTATATGACCGTTGGCAGTCTTCGGAGGTCATCTCGATGGTAAGTTAGATGACGTCTAGACAAAAATACACACGAAATATTGATACATATTATCGAGTCCATGCATTGTTAATTGTTTATTTTAGACTTTTTGTAATTTGGATATACGTTTTAGTATAATATAAATCAAATATGAGAATTTCAGTCAAATCGGGGAACATGAATTTGACAGCTAATGCTCCTTTAAAGTTCCCTGTGAAAATATGACAAGTATTGAATTTCCGTAGTTTATGAAATCAAGATCGATATTTTTTTTCATTAAGACCTAAAAAGGGCCAAATGGAAAAAATAATTGAATTAGATCCATTCAAGACTGCTGACGATGAGTATTTGATTTTTTTCTTCAATGCTTATGTCGTCCGAAAAAATCTTTGATTAGTGTATGCCTATTTAATCGCTAAATTCCTTTTTCGAACTTACAAAAATAACTAACGAACAACCTGTAAATCGATAGGATACGAAATTGGAATCGGACCAGAAGAAGTCGGTCCATACCTGTTTTCAATGTTATACAATACAAAAATACAAAGATGTGGTATAATTGACATGCAATGAGACAACCTTAAAAAAAAACAAAATATTAAGATAAGAACCGAATAACAGGTCACGGCATAGCCATGAGTAAAATCTTAACCATATAGTATATCAAGCTATAAAAGGTCCTGGGATGACAAAGTGTGAAAACTTAAGACCTACAAATTTGACATTTTGACACCATACTTCATTTATACCCATATAACGTACCGGTGGAAACAAGAATAAATGGTTTACTGGCACGTATGTCATATTAAAGCATGATGTGGAACTACCCCTACAAGGATGCACTGCCTTTAAGTTTAAGTTGGTCAAAACCGAAAATTTCTTTTCAATATGCTAACAAAAGAAATTCAAAAAGAAAAGAGATATACACTCACTTTAATTTGCACACGCTGTTGGTTTTTTTCCAAAACCACACGAAAAACTTTCATTCTATCAATTTCTTTTTGTTTTTACCGTTATTTTAAGTCCAGTGGTGTTGCATTTATTTGTTTGATGATTTTAAAAATCGTTTTTAAACAAGATTTTGTTTTTCAAATTCAAAACTCATGACATTGAAGTCTACTTAAGTTTTCTCACTTAATTTTTAAATAAATCTGCAAATCTAACATTGTTGGGCTAAATTTCAGACGAGGTATATAAATACATTGTATATTATATCTGTCGATTGCCATTCTCAATCGGATAACCTAATAGGGCTTCATTGTAACATCACAAATTACACATACTTCGTCTGAAATTTAGCCAAACAATGTTAGATCTGAAATAAAGGAAATAAAGCTATATAAAAAGTAAAATAAAACAAAAATACCGAACTCCAAGGGATATTCAAAACGTAAAGTCCTTTATAAAATGGCAACACTAAAAGCTCAAACACATCAAACGAATGGAAAACAGCTGTTGAAGGCCGTACAGTTGCCTATAATTTCTTACATCCACTTCATGTTAACTTTGGTGGATAATTGTCTCATTGGCAATAATACCACATCTTCATACTCTTATATTGGTACAGGCATTTCCTTACGTAAAAAATGGTGGATTAAACCTGGTTTTGAAGCGAGCTTAACCTCTCACTTGTATGACAGTCGCATAGAATTCCATTATATTGACAAAAATGTTTGAGCAAAACAAACAGACATATAAGGTAAAAATGTTAAATATATTATCTTTCGAATACTAATGAATCCTTTTCAGTTTGCATTGTCCTTCGTTTCAATTTTGACAAAAACATGTATATGCAATTTTGTTTCAAAATGCCTTCAACAGCAACATTTATATGTAGCGATGAAGAACTTTTTGATTATATGGAACTGTGTGAAATTGTGAAACACTATTCTAATTACTAGTATATGAAATAGACTCTCTTATACTTAATTGCCAACAGGATTTGACAAATTTAAGAGTTGGACCATGTGAGTGAAACAAATACAGGAGGAAAAGGCCCAACTCTTTTGAATAGAAAAGAAAATATGTGCTTTTTTATATGAAAATTCAATCACTTAATTCACACCCTACAACTGACACTTATCATTTTGATTAAGACCATGCATCGCTGCTTTCTTTAGCCCAAACAGGATGTTTAGCATTTTTATCTCTAAGTATACTTCTCCAATGAAATAGGCTGTTAATTTGTTAAGTTAAATGGATATTATCGAAATACCATTTATTTCGGGTTTTGAACAGGATGTCTTTTTATTTCCTCAATTAGGTTTCAATGAAATAGGCGGTTAATTTGTTAAGTTAAATGAATATTATCGAAATACCATTTATTTCGGGTTTTGAACAGGATGTCTTTTTATTTCCTCAATTAGGTTTTAATACGTCAATTAAACTTGTAATACTTAAATTAAAAATCAATAGACAATATGTGCAACTTTCAGGACTAAATTGAAACAGTTATGATTGAGGAATTAAATTTACAATGTACCCTTGGTGACAATGAAACATCACAAGAGGGTACACGATATATCCTATGTCTTCGTAACTATGCATTCTTAAATGAATAAAACAGAAAGAAAATAACAATAATTTGGTCATGTAGATCAACGCTCATATGTGACCCGCCATAACATCTCCAGGTTTATGGAGGTTTAACGTCATTGTGAGAAAAAAAATGCCGTTAACTATGAACGTTACGTCAACTTTGTTTACTTTCAAGTTCATTTTACTGAATTCAAAGTCTGGATGCTTTTAAGTATTTAATTTGAAGTATAAAAGATAGCTCTTTACTTAAGAAGGGATTAGTCATAAATGGTAACATGAAGTTGAGAGATTCTGTATATTTTACTCCTCAAAACTCTCATGTCTCAAAAAAATGAAACTTTTAGTAAAGAACCTTTTTATACCGTGTTGTTTTCCATGGTGTATTGTACGTCACAGTTATTTATGTTTATTAAATATCAATTAATGATGCTATACTACTGACTTATTTTCGCATTTGTGTCTACTGTTAGTATCTGTCCTGATTATGTATTACACCATGCATGTGATTTTGTCGCTGGTGCTTATACTTGGAAGACAATAATAGGTTAGTACGTGAATCGAAAACCGGCAATGTTATACATATATTGAGCCCTAATTTTACAAACGATTATTTTCTACTTGTGGTAAATTTTCAGAATATTAAAAAAACATATATTCTATAAAATGTCCAAGATTTGTTCAAAATGTATCAAATTGAGATTACATTTTTCGATTTTAGATCACTTGAGACAACTGTTTAATCTGATATGTTACATGTATCTTCGTGAAAAACTGTTTCAGTAATTTTCTATGCAGTGGTATGAATCTAGAGAATTGAGATGTACAATTATTTTTTAATTTTCTTAATTGATTATTTCTAATGGAGTATTTGTTTAACTGTAAAAGAAGTAAGGGGTTTTTGCGATGAACATTTTTCCGCACAAACAAAAGTGGTGGGCTTACGGTCCAATTCGATTACTGTTTTTGACAAGTTTAAGTACTCTTCTATGAGATGATGGAATTTTTTTTTTGAAAATCATATGCTATGTGGTTATGAAAGAACTAACAGCAATTTTTTTTTCAAAAAGTGAATGCGGCCACTGTAGTTCATCTTTTACCTAAATAAACACAAAATACCCTTTGCTGTAACATTTAAAATACATATGTTAAACGGACCGTTTCATTGATATCCGACTTTCCAAAATATTTGATTAAATCAAATATATTTTAATTATCACTAACATCGCTTCAGCAAGTTCGTTTTTTTTCAGAGCATTTTAATGATGAAAGATTTGTGTATACGTAAACATTTGTTTGGTCAACAAAACCTCACCAATGATGCTTAATTCTAAAATTTATTTACCAAACAATGTATGAGTAACATGGAAACAGCCAATGAAAAGAATACAGTGATACAC